TTCAATGACCATATTTTGAATTCTTTTTTTCACAATGAAAAGAAAAAACATTATTATATGCAATTAATTGTAGTTTAAACGGATAACAACAAACACTGACCTTATAATTTTGTCAAAGAAACAAGGCGTTGAACAGATACTAACAAATTCAAAACTTTTTCCAGAGAAGACTCAAAGACCAGATAACTAAATGCATTGTTAAAGGACTTCCTATTGTTAGGTAGTAAGCTACTCTTACCAATCAATCTAAATTAAAACGTTTAAAATCTTATTTCTAAGAAATATCTATGAAATGCTCCTTCATTTGTTGGTTTACCCTATATCAAGGATGGCGAACCAGTGGCACGCGTGTCACTTATGGCACGCGACTCAATATTTTGGGCACGCCACCGATCACAAAGTTTACTATGAAGCATATTAACAATTCAGTTAAAATTTACAGAAAAAGAACAATTAAAGCCAAAAAAGCAATTAATAACCACAAAAAAACAAGCGAACAATAAATCACTAGCAAAAAAATGTAACAGTTCTGCTTAAACTAACATCTTATAACCCCAATCTAAGTTATTTGTCATCTAATCTGCAACAACAGAAGTCACACTGATGTTACTTTAAGTTGAATTACGCGTATAACTGAGACATTGCAAAAGTTGAGAATAACATTTTTTCGTAGGAAATATAGAGTTTTGAGTTGATTAAATTTAGTATTATTATTTACCCAATAATCACGAAGTCAAAACTATTTGTCGGCACGTCTATGACTTCATTAAAATATATTTTAGAAAAAATGGCACGTTGGTGCATAAAGGTTAGCCACCCCTGTCCTATGGTATATAATGTTTTTAAGCATCTTAAAAAAATGTATAGATTAAAAATTGCATTTCATTAAAAATCTGAGGCCTTGGAGGAAAAACTAATTTTAAATTTGAAACTTTCACACCCGAACTAGGAAAGATCAAGTATTTGTATAAATGCAGCACAAAATTTATTCCCCAGTGTAAATCATGATTTTAAAGAATGCACTGCAATTATGTAAATATGTTTTTTTTTTCTTCAAATTTTCAACTTTTTATATTTTTAACAAAGATTAATGCTAAGATTCATTGTAAGAAAAAAGATTCATTCTAAAAGAAACAAATTCTACTCATACTATTTTAATGAAGTTATTCATTTCTAAAAAGTGATGTTCTTACCGGACTAAGCCTCGATAAAATTTTCACCATAATTAAAATACCGTCTTAGAAACCATTGCTGGCAAATTTTCTTGCAACTGAAATTATAATTTAAATTAGAGTAAAATATGAGTATATCAGATAAATCAAGAGTAAACTGTACAGTTTATGTTGCTGAAGTGTTTTATTTTTCAAAGTATTAAACAACAGCAAACAAATTATGGTGAGATTAGTTGTTGTAACAAAGAGGGGAAGAGTTATATCATAATAATATTATGACAGGATTTGAAATTTCCCCGTGTATTCGTTTCCCGGGACTTATTTTTTCTATCGTTTCAAATTAATATTCTACTTGAAGGAGAATTTCATATGAATGATTGCTACCAAAGTGTTGCTTTCTTATAAATGCAATAAAAAGTATCGCAGTCTATACTAAAAGTCCTTTATTAATATAAATAATATTGAATTCTCTTTTTGCCTGTTAGACTAGAGATGACTTTCTTCAGCTACTCTTAAATGCTCATAAGGGAGCACCCATTAACAATAAAAAGGATTGTGTTGAAAACGGGGATCATAAGAGCGCAAATAACGGACAAGATATTCAGCAAAATGGTTCCACTGATGCACATCAGAAAAGTAAGAATACCTTCTGAAACTTGCATATTCTAATTTTGTAATAAACATTATAAGATGAAAAGCTGAAATGTAAACTGAGTTGCCTAAGAAGATAAGTTAGACTCAACATTGTACTATAGCAGGGGTGGTCAAGCTCCTTAATAGTCGAGTCAATTTTTTTAATTTCGAAATTTTTCGTGAGCCGCAATTAAAACCGGAATTAAAAGGTACGCAAAAAAGGTATTAAATTTTTTTTACAGAAATTATATTTTGTAAAAACATAATTAAAAGTATAAAATATGTGTATTGAATTTAAATATAAAAAATTAAACACAATTTTTTTTACTTCTCCTGATAGTTCTTTAAAATTTGACAAAGAGCCTTTTTTAATTCAGGATAATTCGATTCTGTACAAATTTCTAAAATTCAGTAATCGACGTCGACTTATTTAAATTGTAGAGCTTGATCTTCTTGCATCTCTATTAATTCTAATTCTTTAGATGCTTTTTGAGTCATAATTATATTGGAAATGGAAAATTCACCTTCAATTTAGAAAATTTCAAATGGATTCAGAAAAAAAATCAAGAGACGATTTAAAATATTTCAAGTCTTGAAATCCATTTTGGAATTGCGTCAATATTCCTTCTAGCTTTTTTATATTCTCGTTGAGATTTTCTTGTTTAATATTGGAGCAAAATTTTTTAATTCGAGGAAAATGACAAAATGTTTTGTTTTTAATGACCTTTTGAAAAAATTGTAATTTAGTTTGAAAACTAAATATACACTGTGAAAAGTCAGATATTATTTTATCTTTTCCCTGCAATTGTAAATTCAGTGTTTGCCAGTAATATTTGTTGGCAGTAATTTAAGACATTTTGAAACACAAACGGAACGATAATAATTAAAAAAATTAGCACAAAATTAAAAGGGAACTCGGGTACATTTATCGAGAGCCACAAATAATTCGTCAAAGAGCCGCATGTGGCTCACGAGCCGCAGATTGGCCATCACTGTGCTATAGTATTTTTCGAGTACTAAAGCTCCATATGAACACTATATTTTAAGTAATCACTTTTCCAGTTTTTTCCGAACCAATGGTTTCCAAATTATTTTTCTAGCACTTTTGTATACCGAGGTGAGAAGTGAGGGGTCACATAACTACATGTTTAATAGAAATTTTAGCCTGTTTCGTCTCTCAAAATAAAATAAAAAGTTTCAACGGTTGAGATGGTAGGTAAGTATTTTATTAACGTCGCACTGGAACTGCTCAATAGGCTATTGGCGATGGTCTTGGAAACATACCTGAGGATGATCCGAAGACGTACCATAGCAATTTTGATTCTCTGCAGAGGGAATGGCTCTCCTGCTTTGTTATCCCGATGACCTGCACGCGAAGTCGAGCAATTTACGGTAAAACAGTTGAACGAGGACCGATACCGTACACCCTTGGTTCCTACACAGGCTGATCAAAGTGGTCCCCCCCCCTTCACACTGACTGCTACCAGTGACGCTTGACTTCTGTGTTCTGCTGGGAACTGAGTCTTTACGATCCGTCCACTGTGGGACCGGTTGAGATGGTAAAGTTTCAAATGCCGGATGTTAAAAATATGGACAGAACAATATAGGAGGAATGATTAAAAGCATCAAGGGGACGAAAACTAGCTAAAGAAACTACGTTGAAATAGTAAACATGGTAAAACGCATGGAAGCTGTGAATCTAGAGGAAACAAAAGGTGGAGATCGATTGAAGACTTTTCTACATATATTAAGAGCTCGTATGTTGTTTGGTGTTAATCACTGAGGATCTTCAGAAACTTCAAGGCTCGGACCTCCTGTCACTTTCTTTGTTTCAGTCCGTATATAATAGTTATATATATATATATATTTCAAAACTTGTTATTAGTTCAGTTAATAAAGAGTATGCTAATATGTTTTATATAAAAAAATTTCACATAGTTTTGTTAGAACTCATAAAAAATATAAAATAAATAAACTTTTATCCCTTTCATTTCAAAAGAGTTAAAACATAATTTTCAGTTTCATTTTTCGAACGCAAAACTAGGAAAACCATATTTCCATAAAATGTAAATTCCACCGTTAGAACTTAATTAATGTGTAGCAGTTGCAACGTAAATAACGAACTGTCCGCTTTTCGTTCGCTGACATTATAACTTCCACATGGCNTATATAATAGTTTTCTAACTCCCGAACATTAGTAGTCCGAAAACTGCTATAGCAAAATCAGAAATAAACGTTTCTTCAAATCAGTTAAGCACAAATCAGTTAAGTACGAGAAATTATTAACTAAATTTGTTCAAACAATTTGGAGAAACTGTAAACGTGGTTACTGAAATCACCTACAACAGAGATACAAATGGAAATTTAAGAAGATTGATATTCTCCCTTGCAGCAAGGCTATTTTGAAAGAAGACAACACACCTGTCAGTAATTGGCCATTCAGTTGTATAATAAAAGTTATAAGAGGTAAAGATAATATTGTACGTATAACTATAATTCAGACATCTAAAGGAACATATAAACGTTCGATCTCTAAATTATGTTTGCTGCCAATCGAATAATTTTAATTTTTGTTAATAGTTTGAATTTCATAATTGCGAACAAAAAGTTGTAATTATTTGTAATATTGTTACTTACACTTGTGTGTTGCGTACTCTCATTGAATAATAATAACAATGTTGCATATTTAAAAATATCAAAATGATTGAAATTTTAATTTGTTATATCGTCTACTTGATGGTTAATTGAATAGCACAATTACTCAATGCAGTGGAAAATGTTGATGGCAATTAATGAAATATTGTTGTCGTCATGTGAAAAGTAGTTCATCGATTGCTGTGACAGATTCGTGCAATGTTTATTTCTATTTATTATTACTCGTTCGCTTCGGATGTCCTATAGTGGACGACCGGTAATAAAATATTCGTAAATTTTACTGTCCACTCTTTGATCGTCCCAAACAATCGCGAACTCCACTGCAGCTAACAAATCTTGTCAATTAGCTGAGTTTGTGACTACCATATAGTATATATGTGTGAGAAAATGGGATGAGTTGAAATTGAATATTTACTGAAAATTTATAAATAAAAATAATATAATGGGTAATTCGGATAACTTAGAAAATAAAAAAATAAGTTACTGATAATTGGCGAAAAGTTTGTATGTTAAAAAAAGAAAGCATTAATTTTAAGCGTTTGAACACGTTTCAAAGGCATTGTGTATTTTATAAGGATTCTCGTTTCGTTTTATTTATGAATTTATTGAATTTCAGCTCTTACATTTGACGAATTGGTCTCCCAGTGTTTCTCCTTTTATTTAGCTGCTCACGCCAACTCAGCTTCATTACTAACTTTCATCATATACTTACTGGCTATCAATGAAAACATACAAGAAAATGTCTATCAGGAAATTAGAGAACACTTACAAGAAACAAACGTAAGGGCTCGTAAATGTCATTTTTGTAAATTTATTAATGTTGTTCAAAATTATAGTTTAATCTCTTACAGAAACTTCATGCCAACAATGTATTTACCTAGATTTTATAACTTAGTTGCCATATCTGGTTTGTAATTTCTCCTGTTGAAAGACAGTTGCTAAGAACATATTTTCGAGGACAAATTAAGAAATAATAAAGTAAAATTTAAAATGAATATTCATGAGGCTATAACAAATAAGAAACTATCGCAACTATAAAATTTTACGGCTTGAATACCAAGCTTAATTTGACATCACATCAAAATAGTTAAAAAATGTTATAGTTAAATGGCACTTGTAGATTTAATGTGAGGTGTAACCATAACTTGACTGCAATCTAGCCTCATAATAAACTCTCATGCAGTAAATGGTGATAGCCTACAGTAAATCCTCCTTTATCACTAAGGTAGCTCAATTGAAGCAATTTTTAGCACTCAGAGGTTTCTGGTAAGTGATAAAAAATGCTCCATCAAGAGAATCCCTGAAAAGAACTATGAGATTCAGGTCAAGAAATCTGCTGGCCACTTTATTATCTGAATTGAAGCATTTCTCTGTCCGTCCAGCCAATATCTTTGAGAAAGAAGAAGGCCTCAACTCGGGTTACTATAAACATTAATCCTTTAGTAGTTCAAACGTAGTGGCATCCTTCGTATTAACCACCACTGCGCAGATTGGTAGTCTGAACATAGTGACATCTTTCTTATTTTTCACCCACTGCACAATTTATACTCGAAACGTCGGACTACTAAATTGATTCATGCTGAGGCCTTCTCTTTTCTAGGAGATCTAGCCCTATGCGACAGCACAAAAATGAACTGAACCTCTGAAAAATCTTACATAGAGATCCTTTATTTCTTAATATCTCATTGAAGAACGTGCAATGCAAAGCTGTGGAGCCTTCTAGCATGACACCGGCTGTGACAAGTCTGATTGTATCGGGTATTTAAATTAATGGTTCATATTGAAATAAGAGGGTTATTGCCTAATTATTTTAAAATCAGAATGGTGCGTGATATAATTGGCGAAATGGTGAAGAAAGTTTCATGACGTTACACAGCAAATAGTTAAGCAGTAAATCAGTGAGTAATTTTTGTAAACAAAACTATGAAAAAAAGTGAACGAAATGAACTTTTCGATTCGCGGACAAGACAAAACATCAATAAATCTTTTGATATTTAAAAAAAATCATAACTTCGATAAAAGAATAAGACAACAAAGAAATAAGATACCAAAAGACACAAAATCTGTTTTCAATTGCAATTAAATTTATGGAATTTATAAAATCTGACATCTGCCCATAACAATATGCAAACAACATGGATGTTTCTCTCTCTCTTTGTGCTGTACTCTGTTGTGTGTGTGATGTGTGAATGTGGCCCACCCAGTTTGTGGCAGTGTGACGTGGGCAACGTTGCTTGCCTCCGTGACTTTGGTTCGCAGGTGCCCACTGGGTAACGCTAAATGAGCAACAATTCCGGCATCTTCATAGGCAAAGATTCAAAATTCAGTGCCTGCCATTAGAAAAAAAACATATTTCAAATTTAGAAATCTCAGAGCTCAACACTTTTCCAGAGATTAATTTGTTAAATGTATCGAAGAAAACTTAGAACAAGCCAAAAAATTAAATGCTAGTAGTCCTGGGCCAACTTTAAAGAGAATGAAAGGAAATTATTAAAAATTTTTGTATTAAAACTAAGAATCAATATTTAATTCAATCCAACTTCAATCTAATTATTATTTAACAAGTAAGATATTGATACCACATATTATAACCGTCATTAAACAGCCGACCCAATTTTTTGCGCTTACGACTACTAATGTTCATTTCCGTAGCCCTGTAATTTTGAACCCAATTCAGAAGACGAGGGAACTCCTGGATCAAGTATCGGGAGATATTTGCTTTTGTGGAGGACATTTTGATGGAACTAATTCGCATTTGGGTTACATGGAGAAGAAAACCACAAAACCTTTCCACGATTAGCCTGAAAGCAAATGGACTCTAATCCATCATGAGCACGTCAGCACTGTGGTCGGTGTAACAAGTTAAATACAGAATTCGTATCGCCTAGCCATTGCTGGGATTCTAACCCGGTTCACTTCATTGCAAGGCGAAAGCTTTATCCAAGCCATCATTGCACGATATCACATATTTATAAAAACCATATGAGGCAATATACGAAACTATTATGCATTATATTCCTTATTATATTTTCATAAATTAATTATATTGCTTCCAGCCTATTATTATATCAACTTTACATCTTATGAAATTATAATCTAACATTTCTTTTTCTTCTTTTTCTTAATAAATTGTTCGATAATACTTTCAGTCCTATTACATTAATTAATCCCTTCTGCCAAATATTTATTCAGTTGTTTATTTCTTAAATTAATATAACTTTTGCCCAATACTTATTTCAAGCTGAAAAATCGAAACTTTAACATTTATCTTATTATGAAACATATATAAATCAAAACTGATGAATCTTTTCCAACAATTAAAAATATATTCGAAATTACTCAAAAAAATATTCATTTAAGAGTCCTACCCATATCTATTCAAGAAGTAAGTTCCAAAAATATGAAATAACTATTCACAGAAAACAAAATGATCTTTCAGACAAGTAAGTGGAAAGAAACCCATATAAAGAAAATTACATAAATACATAAAAATCTAAATCAAAACTCAATAATAGCTGAAAAACAAATCCGATAAGTAATAAATGAAGAATCAGAACTTTTAAAATTTATTTTCTCGTTAATTTTAACAAAATGTAGTCACTAAAAGTTTCGCCAAAAGCAAGAATTTACTTGAAGATAAATCAAAATTAAAGTTCAAAAAATTGAAAAATTTTAACATTTAGCTACTTTTAAATTTAAAATAAATTTAGATTGCAAAAATTCTGCAAATTCGTCCTAAAACGGGGAGCAACCTATGTCCTTAAAACGATACAGTTATTGTTTTTTTTTTTTTTTTTAAATAAAGGATCACTGTTAGTTATATTATGTAAATTAACCTATCCCAAATGGTGTTCGCAAGAACCTAGGATTCTCTGCGAGGAGTTAATGGAATTCCGCGAGTATGTACTTTTTATCACCAGTGATGATTTTTGATGGCTCTGATTATGTATGCAGTTCCAACCAATTATTAATAAGTTCTTTAACTTTTAAGTTACGATGAAATGATATCAAATAAAATGCAAATGAAACATATTATTTGGATTTTCTTTTAATAGATTGAACTTGGCTGCTTAGCAACGGTGTAAAATTAGGTATTCCTCTTTCGAACTAGTCTATAGGCTATCTTAAAATATTCATTTGCGGCGGCGACTTTGCTTGGCTGTTTTTTTTTGGGATTATTACCAAATATATATAACTTATTATCCCCCGATGTATGATCCTATATTTTCGAAATTTCGTCTACATATCCTATTTTGAGGATCAGGAATTCAACTATGTAAAAAAATATATATGTTTATTCATACAGATCACAGAGCTTCTGAGTCAAAAGAAAAAAATATATTTTCAGAATAAATAAATCGAATACTTGCACTTCAAGAAGAAGAAGATTACCGATAACCATATACACTATCTAGCCATTAATGACCGGACACTGTGAAGTTCGGCGAATTATGGTGTGGTCCTGTTTCTCATGGTTTAGCCTTGGACCCTTGGTGTTAGTGCGTCGAACCCTGAACGCAGAAGGGTATAGAGACAATTCGGTGCTTCCCACCCTGTGGCAACAGTTCGATAATGGCCCGTTTGTGTTACAACACGATAACGCTTCCATTCATACAGCACATGCCATCACGGACTGGTTTGATGAAATGGGGATGCAAGAGCTTGACTGGCCATCCCAAAGTCCCGACATCAATCCAATTGAGCATCTCTGGGATGAGTTGGAGCGCCGGTTGAGGGCCAAACCACAACGCCCCATAACCACCACTCAACTCTTCGCCATGTTCCAGGAGGAATGGCGGGCAATACCTGCCGCCGTGTACCAACACCTAGTGGATAGCCTTCCTAGAAAGGTTAAAGCTGTGATTCGGGCGCGTGGCGGTCCCACGCCCTACTGACTTGATACTAGCACCTCATCTATCCGAAATGAGGGTTGTCCGGTCATTAATGGCCAGATAGTGTATGTGACTTACGACGTTAAATGAGCATTTTTATTTTATTTTATAACCGCCGTTGAACAGTCGACCCAATTTTTTTGGATGACTACTAATGTTCAACTCAGTAGCCTTTTAATTTTGAACCCAATCCAGAAAACAAGATAACTCCTGGATTAAGTATTGGGAGAAATTTGCCTTCTGGGAGAACTTTTTGAAGGAAATAACTAGCACTTGCGTTATACGGAAAGGAAAACCACGAAAACTTCTCACATTGACGGGGACTCTAATCCATGATCCGTCAACCACTGAGGATATTTAACGTCCAGTTTGAAGTTTATTAAATGCAGAGCCGTATCAATATTCGTCTATTTCTCTCACTTACCTTAGATTTACTATTTGTTTATACATTTTATTGTAACTTCGATGCTTGATTAGTTTGTTTATATTCTACATGGCTTCGTCCTTCTGTGAGAATCTTAGTGAAAGAATTTTTTTAAGAAAGAATTTCGAATTGGTCACTTAAGAGAATTGATACAAAACAGGCTTAGCTTACTCAAAGTAAAATGGAAAGGACAGTTGCTAAAGTAAACAAATGCCAGGTTTCAACAACCAATCAAAATCGAGTTACCCACACTACATCCCTTGCAGGTATCCCTTTATATAATTTTTAAAATCATTTACGTTATCTAGCTCGTGCATTTAGTGTCAATTTTTGAAAATTAACTTCTGTTTATTTGGAATTCTACTCAAATAACTTTCGTGTTCCGCCTATATTTTAATCCCCAGAAAGTTAAAAATGTTGCTGAATGTTTCAGTGTGGATAAAACTGAAAATTTTCTTATTAGCGTGTTTTAATAAGCTAAGAAGCGGAGGTTCACAAATGTGGACCGAATTACTGAAGAGGTTATACATATCTTCAACTCAAACATCACATTATACTGAAAGAAATAAGATAAATAATAATAAAAGTTACTCTGCTAGTTATAAGTTCTCATGATGGAGGAAGAACGTGAGATTGTACGGAAACGCTCGTAAGTGAGGTTACTATTCTACTGTCTTTCTCTTTCGCTTCCCCGATGCTTCGACAATTTTGAAGCTATTGCCGTGAGTTAGACATCGAAAACTGTTGAATTTTTTTAGAAGTATGTATACGTAGCGCATATTTTGTTTGTCCTACAATTTTATCTTATCAGGTAATCAACAGCCGATACCAACATCTTCCAATAAAACACTACGTTGGACATTTTCAATTATGATGAATTAATGAAATAATACAACCCACTGGAAAGCGAGAAATAAGTATGGTGCATACTTCAAAATCTGGAATAAATTCAAATTGTAACAGGAATTTCCCATTTTCTTATTCTTAATTTCAATATGCTAATGCCTTTCTGTTCATCCTTTAAAACAAATTTAAATATATCATATTTTAGGGAGAAATAACGTATGAAGCTTTGCAAAAAATGAAATATTTGGATAATGTTATATCGGAGACTTTAAGGCTGTATCCTCCAGTTGTAAGGTAAGTTCTGATACATCTCTCAAAAAAAAAAGTTTTCATTTGCTGTAACATTTTGGCATTTAGTTCTAATATTTCATGAAAATAATTTCCGACCCCAATTATCTGACTGTATAGGTTTTTCTGTTAATAAGGAGGCTAATACCAGGGATAAGGAGTAAATAAAAGGTGAAGAGACTCGTGAGCATCTGATTTTAGTCAGTAACGTCATGGCGGCACAGCATCAACTACTCATCAACAACTTTAAATATAAATTGCAATTCTTTTCGAAACTAATTTAAATACATTCATTGTTTTCCATGTATTTTTTACTTTGAGATGATTCCCTTTTTACCAGATTGCAAACATTTAACTGTCAAATATCAGCTTGCGAGATAGCTAGAATTATTATAAAACTCAAAATGAGAAAACGTAATTTTCCATGTTTTACCTCAGGAAATAGAAAGATAACATCAAATGAATTATAAAATGCGCAAGAAGAATTTATAATGCTGTGAACAAAAAAGACATTGTGTTTTACGTTTGGACGTTTAAGAACTTTTATTAAAATTTCGCCATTGAAATCAATACCGTTTCGGAACTTTAAACAGAAATGAACAAGGTTGAAGAAAATTAAATTCCGAACTTCAAAAATAAAAGTTATTAATGCTTAAAAATTGTTCCAATTTCATTGCCTATTTCTTAATATCATTATTCAAATTAATCTTTAATTATAACGCCTTAATTTTAAATATTTACCAGCAAGAATAATATTTCCATTATTATATGCCCAAAGATTTTTTAGTAATTAGCATTGTGCACAAGACCATTTGCGTGCAGAACTGGCTTCCATTTTACTCGTGTCTTTCGAGTGAGTCGTACGTATTTCATTCTCTTGCAATTATGCCAGTATCTACTAAAGTTGATTTGTTATAAGAGTTTGTGTATGTTACAAGTTAAGTTTTAAAGTTTTTCTGCCGTTGTAGTCATCAATTTATGATTCATCACTATTGAGTTAATAAATCAAATCAAGCAATATGGCTACCTATCATCATCATGGCCGAGGCGGAAAACGACTAGTCGATAGGACACCACAAGTACCAATGGTTGACGTGGAAAGCATGAGTCCTAGTGAACGAAAGATATACGAACAAGTGATGGAAGGGTATGAGAAACATAGGAAAGAAATGGATGAATTGATGGCAAATGCGAATAAGCTCCTGTATAACTCATCTAGCCAAATCACTCCTGAAATGCAGATTAAAACAACTGAGGATACAGATATGGAAACTCATGATGACGGCCAAAACTTGGAACAGAAAAACGAAAGGACAACCACGGATACAGAAAGCACAGCAAAAACAAATACAGAACCCCCTCCAAAAAAGCGAAAAAAGAAGAAGAAAAAGCAAAACAAAGCCAAAAATACTGAGGATACGCAAATCACGAATGCAGAAAGCTCCACTTCTTCACCAATAGCTGCCGCCACCTCCTTGCCACAACCTGATGCAATAGTCAACTCCTACAAAGCTCCGCCCATAGAAGTTGCCACAGTTCCGCCCACAACTTCAGAAACTGTTCAACCAGTCAAGCACATAAAAGTTCTGGTACGTGGACTCCCAGAGGATTTCCCTACAGATCATATCTACCCTGAATTAGACAAGACAGGCATTAAATCACAGAAAGTAATTCAGTTCAAGAGAAAAGTGGGCGAGGCCTATCGGCTCCTCCCACTTTTTCTCATAATACTAATAGAATCTGAAAATAACCGACAAATCTACTCAATTAATAGCATATGCGATGTCCCGGTGAAAATAGAAAGGTTCCGTGGAGGAAACAGTCCAACCCAATGTTTCAATTGCCAAAATTTTGGTCACACTCAAAGAAATTGCTGTTCACCTCCCAGATGTGTTAAATGTGCCGCGGGTCACCGATCCTATTTGTGCCAAAAGGACATCAACATACCACCAAAATGCTGTAACTGTGGTGAAGCACACACTGCTAACTACACGGGATGCAGCATCCGTCCCCCCAGGAGGGGCCATCGTGTTACTCCAGCTACAGTTCCCACTACAAAAGCAGGCAAAGCTCATAGACTGGTCTCAATTTTAAAAGAACTACAAGAACTACTAAAAGACAGAGAACTTTTTCAACTACTGCAATCAATTATGTCCTCTTCTGAATAATGTCTCTCTCTGATCTGTACATAGAACTCTATTATACTGAACTTTGAACTGGTAAATTTATCAACACGAAATTAAATACTGTTTATTGCCACGCTAGATGGCGCCACTAAGGTAATGAAAACTTATGCTAAAACTTCATGATTTTGTTTCATTTCATATTTTTCTTACAAATTACGTAATTCTAACACAATTAATGCTAAAATGTCAAATGTATTTCTATATATCTTGATTTTATTCACATCTATTTCACAACTCATGACTGCATTAAATTTAAACTCCATTCAAGATTAAAATTGTACTTGTTTATATTAAAATTTTTTCATTCATTTTTAAAATTCACAACGTATGATTGCATTAAACTTAATCCCATACAATGATTCAACACCAACTGTGCTTTATTATATTCATGGATAATTTTTTTGATTATTTCATAAATCATGATTCATATTAAGTAACAATTCATGTTTAATTTTTCAAGCAAATATGTCTGATCTTTTATTTTATTTTGCTACTTTAATGCTGCATAAATCAAAATGTTTGTAATTCAACCTGTAAATTATTCCATGATGTATGGGTTAGGGGCCGCTACGCGGCCCAGGCACCCAGTTTTTTGTTAAATAAAGCGTAAAAAATTAGCATTGTTGTTTCCTACTGATAATGAATTAAAAAAAATTGCTGTCAAACGTCAAAAAATATATTAAAATTGGTCATCCAAATTAACAAACTATTATTATTGCACAATACGTGACTATAAAAGTGTCCGATTTAACAAAAAAGAGTTAAAAAATTAAATTAGAAAACTATATTGAAACGATGACGAAAACCATTGCGATATTTTTCCACTTTAAAAATATTATTTTTTAATACCATTAACCATACCAAGAAAATGTATGAATACTATATTTTTGAACAGAAATAATTTACTAGCGGAGTAAAGTTTGGCAACTATTATCAGAAAAGTTTCGAACATTCAACTCATTTCTTACTTAAAGTATAAACAGCAAAGTTTTCATATCCTTTAGTTGTGATTTCGAGATCTGTGTGTGGCGTGACGTCATGAGGTGGGGAATCGTAACTTCAGCCTTAAGTTAAGAATGAACTAGCCTTTCTCTATCTTCTTTTAAGCTATGGGTTTATACACTCAACCAGACATTTTTTTTACCCAGATTTTACAAACTAAAACGTGTAAGTATTACACCAATATATATAAACCTCTCGGGAGCTATCACAATCTGTTCCACAGTAAAATGCATACCTGCCAACTTTTAATCCTTTCCATTATAACTTTTCCCAGTAGCATTAAAATGGAATTAAAACTTCAATTTTAAGCAAACAAATACGTTGTATTTGAGAAAACTTAAGTTGACAACCATGATAGTAACGCATATTAATATATGTGCTTAATTTTTGTAAGAATAGTGGTGATCAAATGATTTAAAAATTAAAATTAGAAAACAAAAAATGGTATATATTTACTACCACTTTAAATATGAAAATAAAATCTTCGGGAAAAACCGGAAAAGTTAACAGGTATGAAAATGGCATTAATGGAGACTGTTCGTTCTAAGGCAGTGGTGGAGAAACTTTTTTAAACTTTTATTTGTAATAACTAGACAATCGTAGTGGGCAATAGAATAATGCTTAATCGTTAAAAAATGTATGTGTTCTATAAACATTTACATATATTATTACATGCACTTATTATTTTAATAATAAAAAAGGAAAAGGTAAGAAAATTATAAGCACAAAATATAAAATGAATTTAGTGTAGTTCTTGATGTGAAGTATTATCACTTTATTTTCTGGTGTCATTACTGGTTGATGGTGCATGAGAAAAATGAAATTGAGACTGTTTCTTCAAAATTTCATCATAGTCCGGTTCCATTTGCGAAGCAGAAATTCTTAAAATTGATGAAAGGTGCTCACCTGTAATTCTGTTTCTTAAAGAAGTTTTCCTAAGCTTCATTGTTGAAAAGATTTGTTCGCATATATAAGATGAGCCGAACATTGTCATTATCTTCATTGCATGAGTAATTAGATTTGGGAAATTATCTGGACTTAAATTTTTATAAGATTCTAGTAATGGTACTGTATGAAAAGTTTGTTTTAGGAGAGTATTACAGTTCAGTTCTATTAACCCAAGTTGAAATTTTGCATCAACTTCTTCGTAATTAACATTGAATGGGGTCGCAAAAATACTAAACTCTGGTTCCATTTTTCTAAAGTCCTGAAATCTCCTTTCAAATTGTGAAGATAGTTTTCTCAAATTAATTTCGTATTTTTTAATCTTATTGTTTGATATAGTGAATTTTAGAGATTGTATTCTTGGAAAATGAGAAAAATCAGATTTAGAGATCTGATTAGCAAATAATAATAACTGTAATTTGAAACTTTTCAGGTATTGCCAAATATCGTGAAGAAACTGATTTTTCCCTTGCAATTTGAGATTAAGTATATTCATGTGTACGAGGAGGTCTGTGAAAAAAGCGAAATCAGAAAGCCACGTTTCGTTTTCTAAGACGTCAAATTGACTATAAATGTCTTTATCAAGAAGAAAATTCACAATATCGTCTTTGAAATCCCAAATTCTTTCAAATACTTTTCCAGCACTTAACCAACGAACTTTTGAATAATACAGGATATCGGAATGCTCAGCATGTACGGACTCCAAAAACTATTGAACCTCTGGAACGAATCATATTTACTAATTTTACAACAATATTAAGTATATGGTCAATATCTAAAGCCGATTTACAGAGAGCATCCTGATGTATAAGGCAATGCAAAAAAACAACATCATTTTCCGGATACTTAGAATTAAATTTCCCAACAAATCCTTGATTGATTCCAACCATATTAGGAGCACCATCTGTAGTTACGTTACATAACTTATCAATAGGTAAACGAAGTTTATCGATGCAATTTTCAAATTCACAAAATATATCGGCACCAGTCGTTGTTCCTTTCATTGACTGAAGCCCTGAAAGTTCTTCTGTAATTTCAAAGTGGGCGTTGATTCCTCTTACAAATATAAGTAACTGTGCAGTATCGCTGATATCTGACTTTCATCCATGGTAATTGAATAAAAAATAAATTTTTGAGTTTTTGTAGTCAGTTGTGAAATTAGATTTTTATCAATATTTTCAATTCTCTCGGTGATTCTTCTTCTTGAGAGAGACAGTGACTGAAAATCATTTTTCTTTTCAGGGCACATAATATCGCACACATCTATCATGCACTGTTTTATAAATTCACCATCTGAAAATGCTTTATTAGATTTAGCAATATTATAAGCCAACACATAACTGGCTTTCGTAGCGCATCTTTGAGAATCATTAGCTCTCTGAAATAATTGTTGTTGACTTGATTAATTTTTTATTAAATCTTTCGATTTAATTTTTTTCACCTCTTCACTTAACGATGAGTAGGAGTGGTTTTCATGTTTGCTCTTGAAATGGCGTTGAATGTTATATTCTTTTAAAACTGCAACAGTTGTATTGCAAAGTAAGCACACAGGTTTTTCTTTAAATAAAGTAAAGAAATATTTCCACGTCCATTCTTCTTTAAAAACTCGACATTCTGAATCCACTTTTCTTTTTTTAACATCCATTTTAGAAGTTACTTACTACGGAGAACAACACACAGAAACGCAATTGACGAAAGCTTACTGCTAACTAATGCTCTTGCGCGGGTCCTCTTAAAATGAAATTATAATTTTATTAAACTTTTATAACGTGTATACAAAAATTGTAAAGCAGTTTGAAGCAAAGGAAACAAGAACTAGAGCAGACGCAAATCGCGAAGCTTTTTGGTTGTGATTGGTCAATTCATTTTCATGTGACGTCACAGTACCCTCCTCTTTGGATATTCATGGGCAAAATTCTGTATTCATGAAATTAAAATGGTTCTTCAATATTTTGATAACTGTCAATTAATGGACTATTATATTTTGGAGAACTTCGTGAATTTATATTTCCCAGGCAAGATTGAGTTCTATTTTGGAAGATTAAAATTGCCAGAGTGTAGGAACGAAAATCAGTTTGGAACTGCTTTTGAGTCTTCGGCCCACGGACTATTGAGGCAGTGGGAGTTTCGGGGATTGCACAAACAATTACTCGAGTCACAGCGGGTCGTTGCAGATGACTAAGTCGCTAACTAACTGAACTTCGGGCGGCCTCGCTTGCATTTATACCTACTTGCAAAGATTGTATCTCATCTCGCATGTATTTATACCTGCTTGTACCTGCAAGGATTGTTCGGGGATTGGATTTTTCCGGTTCTTTCCAGAAAACAGAACAATTAATCGAAAATGCGAGAGTGTCTGGAAGTTTCGAGCGAAGATGAGTCATCTGTTTAGGTCTAATGGATTTGTCCAGAATACTATTGCGTTTTAAATATCGCCGCAGGTAGTTTTTATGCGGGTCGTCACATTTCGAAGTAAGAACGCGTGCAAACATTCTCACGACAGCACTCTTAAGAGTGCTGTCGTGAGAATGTTTGCACGTCGTGAGAATGCCGGATTAAACCTTTCCGCGGGCCGGACTTGTCCCACGGGCCGTAGTTTCCCCATCACTGTTCTAAGGGGTCAACCATCACCTCCTACACCAAGAAGCCTCCACACGGTCTTTTCTAAGTAGTCCGCGCAGACTGTTTAAAAAGTGAACCAGTTGTGCACATGAACCCAAAACCTTTTATAAAAATAATTGAGAGAAATTCATCCTATATTTTTGAGAATTGAATCTGTAGTGGTTGACAAGTGAATAAGGCAAACCAAGAATATTCAGAAATAAAATAAATTTTATTTATATATTTGCTACCACTTTCTTATTTTAACTAGATTTTGTATTAAATGACTCGTTCGGAAAGTGGATATCCTTCACAATGGTCTGATCGGACTACATACAATAAATCTTGTGGAGGCTTGCAGTTATAGGAGGTACATGATTTTTCACAAACGATTTTAATTTTAGTTAGTGCCATTTCATTGGTTTAGAAATGCCATGCTTCATGAAAACCGGATCGATGAAATAATTTAGCATTAACGAAAATGATTCTTTTTGATTTAATTATAAGTAAAAACAAATTTACCGATTATGAATAATAGATCTATTTTAAATATATGAACAATTATGTATTTTGTTTAAGTATGCATTTAATTTTATATCATAAAAATGAGGTTAGCTTTAAGAAATGAGAAGAGGTTTGTATGCTTAGTTTTTCTATGAAATTTAATTTTTTACTCAAACTTTCAACTCTAAAAATAAATCATCATCTTTAGTGTACCCTAAATGCTACATGGGGCTGTGTAATCTCTTTCAGAGATCATCAGAAAGAGCTCTCTAAATAGAATCTCACACAAATATTTTCATTACTTATTTTTTTTAAATTTTTAGTATTTATTGTTTCGATATTATATCGTGTTTCCTTAATAGACCTTTTCTGCTTTTGATGCAGAGTTTTGCTCGGTCGCTGGGACAGGTTTCGACACACTCTTTTAATGGTTTTCTTCAATGCAAAATCTGTGGAAAAATTTCTGCGCCTCTCGAAAGTGGTCGCTACATAGAGGTGGGTTTGCCTGGAGATTTCACTTTAGTTCTCAACTGAGCACATTTATGACTGCTTAGGACATTCTTTTTGAGCTCTTGAAGACCGTTCTCTGTTGGTCCTTGAGTTAAATTTTTTATGGACATGATTACATCTTTGCTGATCGCTGAAGATAAGCAACAACAGCAGCAAATAAATTGTTCTATTTTTATTTTTTAGAGCTACCCGAAGATCTGATAAGGATTATAAGCTGGGTGAAACTGGTATCACTCTCCAGAAAAATACCATCTTTCAATTGCCTATTCTGGGTATCCATAGGGATCCAAAGTATTACCCAAATCCTGAGAAATTTGATCCAGACAGGTAACCTATGTAAAATTCTTTCTCTAAACCTTTATTTCGTATAGTTAAAATACGCTACTAAACGATCAAAGGTACAGTGGATCGAAAGAAAAAAAAAAGACGAACCAGTCTAAATAACTTTCGATATAATGATCGGATCTTCATGTTCTAAGACTTATTCCTTGGGGTTTAACAGGGGTGATTTCAAATATGCTAATTAACTGGTACAGGCGATATTAAAATAACGTCTGTACCAATTAATTCGTATTTTAAAAAAATATGAAATCAGACACAAAAACGTACTTTATCTGAATAAACATACCCTTTTTTCAACTGGTTCAGATTTTTGTCCCCCAAATATAGAAAGTACAGCAATCCGGTAAATAGGGTCCCCATAGTTTGGTCAGGAGAACGGTCCAAAGTTTGAACCCCTTCGTGTTAATTTTAGTTTTTGCGCATTTCGCCATATCTCCAGAACTTTTTAAGAGAATTTCAAAACTTTTTCCTCACAATTATAAAATTCGTTTATCCAAAGGTAATTTCTGCCAAAAAAATAAATGTTAGCAAATATTTATTATTTTTTATTATTTTATTTAGTATAAGTCGAAAAATATACTTAATACCCCCGGGGCGCACGGTACATTTTGATTTCTACAGCGATCGCTATTATAAGCTGGAATTATTCACATTTCGTATAAGTCTTCCATATGATGAAAATTTTTTTATTTAGTATTAATTTGGTATTAGCTTTTTTTAATATTAATTAGTTAGTATTTCAGGTTAATGGTTTGTTGCGTAGTTTGGATCATATTTTTTTTGTGAATTTGAGTTGAACAATTTTTAAATGTTATACGCTGTTGTTAATTCAATGTTTGTTAATTAAATGCTTGTTTATTCAATATTATTTGGAATATTTGGGGTGTATAAATTCGGTCTTCCTTTTTTCAATATATTTGTATTATTTTGTTATTTTTCTAAATTTCTGCTGTATTTTACTTAACATTATTTTCTCTTTGTCGTCAAGTGAAGGTGTAAAATATAATTCTGATTTCTGCTGTGAAAATGAAATCAGACTACCTGGAATTTTTGATCAAATATGTAGATACTTAATTTACGTCGCTCTCGAGCCGCACAATGAGATATTGTCGACGGTCTGGGAAAAATCTCTGAGGATTGTAGTGGTAGACACACTACTCACTCCCCACTAGGATGATTCGAAGACATCCACAGCATTCCACTGTTCCGTCCACTAACTGGACATTAGTGTCTGGCTGAACACCTACACCGAATTGAAATCGCCTCAAGTCCTTGTTGTCCCTCTATAGTTCTGTAAATATAGACAATGTGTACATTAAGAACTGCACATTGACTGTGCAGTTCTTAAAGGCAATTCTGAAACGGCGCTCTAAGGATGGTTGATTGAATGTAAACAATAAAATGCTTCTTAAAACCGGAAGAAATTTAGAAAACTTCCGGTGTATCCCTCCGCTTATGCTATGCTTATGAGGTGGTGTGTGAACAGGCTTAATATTGCCGAGCAGTCTAAGTCTCAGTAGCTCAGAGATATAATTCGAATCTACAAAGCAGAAGGTCCAAGGTTCGATACGGGAAGCGGACACTAATTCCCGATTTTTCTTATTTAATTCTATGAACATTCCAGAAGCTTCTGGTACATTCAATTTACATCATTTCCTCTTTAGTTATTTCTAGGAAGTCTCTAGAACGTTCTTTGTTAGTATATAAGCAATCCCCTCATTGTAAACAGGCAGTTCTGTGTGCAGACTTGTTCTCGTCATTTGCACTTTATTCACTTTATTAAATGCATCATTTAAACCTCATCTTGTCATCTGTATTAACCCTTTCGCACCGACTGTCACAAATACGTGACAGCATAAAACCGTATCAACCAGGATAAAAAGATAAAACTGGTAATCAAAGTATTTCTTTAGCAGTTTATTTGTGGGCGGAGTTATAATTGTTTAATTTATTTAATTCACCATTACTTTGTTCAAAATAAAACTATATAGTTATACTTTGAATTAACATAGATTATATATATGATTAAACTAACAATAATTAAAGTAAAAGCAAAGTAAGTCTGTCAAATTAAGCAAAGACCACATTTAAGTTACCGTTTTTTATTTTAATACAACTTGATTCTGATTTTGTACGAATGCTTTATCGCTTGTCCCCAAGGGGTTAAACCACTTTAATGTGACAATATTCTAGGAAATCTTATTATTGTGATTTGTGCTTTAATTTACACGTAATTTTACAATTCATAAGAGTTTTCTGTAATTTATAAATTCTAACAGGCCTGAGACAAACTTAACGAAATTAATATCACAACATAAATAAATTGTAAGGTTATACATGTTTTGAGTGTCAGCCTTTATTTGTCTATATTTCTGTGAAATAGCACCATCGGTTATTTTTTGGGTGGCAGCATAGCAAGCTTGCGGAGTCTTCCAAATTAATTTGTTGTTTGTTTCGTTAAACGTTAGATTGAAAGAAGGCGTTACATTGTAAAAAAAATACAAGTATAATAATATTGGAAGGTGCGTTTTTAAAAACTTAAACTAAACGGAAGTAGTAAATTGGAAGTCTTGCGACGAATTTTAACCTTAGCTCCTGAGTTTAGATTTACACAGTCAACCATCCCTTGACAGGCCAGAGAACTTTTAAGGCAAAGACTTCCGTCAACTCTGGTTATTATTATTGTATTTTTATTAGTTTGTGTTTGACTATTTTTTTTTAAATTTGCCTAGCCATAAGAAATAAAATAAAAAAATCAAAGAAAGAACGGGTTTTTTGCCTGATTTCTCAACTTCAAATATTGTCTGTCCCGCAGTGGACTGATCGTTAAGACACGGTTCCCAGTAGATCACCGAGGTTAAGCATCACTGCCTACGGTCAGTGTGCGGGTGGGTGACCACTTGGATCAGTCTGCGTAGGGACCGAGGGTGTGCGGTACGGGTCCTCGTTAAGCTGTTCTACCGGAAAGTGCTCGACTTCGCGCGCAGGTCGTCGGGCTACCGAAGCGAGGGTGCCATCCCCTCTGCAGAGGATCAAAATTGTGATGGCATGTCTTTGGATCATCCTCAGGGATGTTTCCCAGACCGTCGCCAATAGCCCATTATGCAGCTCTAGTGCGACATAAATGAACAACAACAACAACAAATATTGTCTGAGCAAATTAATTTGCCAGTTTAAGGTTATATCTCTAGAACATTAAATATGAGTATTTGAAAATATGATCAGAAACTTAAAAATTATTAAAGATGTTCGCTTCCTTATCGCAATGTATAGAGAACATCCGTTAGAATACAAATTGTGATAAATGAGGCAATTAAGTATATTTTTAATGCATTTTTGACTCAGCTGCTCCGAACAGTGCCTGATATTATGAAATTGGGTTGTCGGAAAGTAATTTCCTTTTTTTTTTCTTTTTTTTTTCTTTTTAAACTGAGGACATAATTATATTTTTCGCAGCCAACTTCTCACTTAGCCGAATAATAGTTCGATATTTTGAAAGTTGACAGAACAAAACACTTACGTTTAGGAAAAGCTCGATTGATTCTACACTGTAGTTTATGGGTTGGAATCATTTCAAATATGGAAACTAATATACTGAAGTTTCTTCATGTTATACTTTTCTTACTATCAAAAAGAACTACTGTTTAAGCAAGAAAAAAAAATTATCCGATGTGCTTGTAGAAATGTATTAGCAGTACACCGATGTCGAAACAGGTTTGTAAAATTTGAATTTGTAGTTGTTGTTCATTTACGTCGCACTAGAGCTGCACAATGGGCTATTGGCGACGGTCTGGGAAACATCCCTGAGGATGATCCGAAGACATTCCATCACAATTTTGATCCTCTGCGGAGGGGATAGCTCCCCCGCTTCGGTAGCCCGACGACCTGCGCGCGAAGTCGAGCACTTTACGGTAGAATAGTTTAACGAGGACCAATACCGCACACCCTCGGCCCCTACGCAGGCTGATCCAAGTGGTCACCCACCCGCTCACTGACCGCAGCCAGTGATGCTTGACTTCGGTGATCTGCTGGGAACCGTGTCTTAACGATCAGTCCACTGCGGGACTTGGATTTGCTAGCATTTTGATGACGATACACCACAACAGTTTAAGCTGAAGACAAAATTTAGACGGGGCCTCCGTGGCCGAGCGGTATAGCTCGCAAAGCGCTGTGCAAAGCGTTGAGGTAGCTGGTTTGAATCCTACTGTTACCCTGGATGTATTTTCGTGCTGTTCTTCTCTGTAGTGAGCTATATGTCCTTCTATTGACAAGGGTTTATCAGCCTAAATTGAGCACACAAGTCTGCAAATGTATGTATTTCTAACAAGCCATAAACCAAAATTACGACATTAATTTATACAAATGGATGAATAACAACTACTGAGATTACCGAGAGATTAATTTTATCGAACTCGACCGTTCAAGATCCTGAACGTTTAATCTCGTTACATGAGTTCTTCATGCTCTTACAGAAAGAAATTTGCAACGTCCGTTGACTTCTGTAATTTGATTCTGAAGCGTAAGACAAAATTTTCCCATTTTGAGAGAGCATCATCACTATAGGTGAGAAACAGATACGATAATATTCATAAAATGTTTCGATAATGTTCATAAAATGTTTTCGACGGTAAAAGTTTCGCTTCCTATATGGAAGTCAAAAATCACCTGGATCATTTTTTTACCAGCCAAAAGACATAACTTTTATCTGCGTAGAATCATGCTACTGCCAGAGAGAGGACAAAAGACCAGAATACACATTATATGATTCAAAAAGTATTTATTCGCTCTAAGAGTGACAGGATAACCTGGTTGGTAGGACATCGGGCTCATGTCCAAGGGGTTGTGAGTTCAATCCCCGTGAGCCAAAGAATACCCTTGAAGTAAATGGTGACTGGTGCACGTTAAATTTATCGTGTCACAAAGTCCGCCAAATTCCCATAACAAACCAATACCTCTAGGAGTGAGGACCGTGATTGGCACGGCTCTGGACTCGCGTTTGTGACAGCGGGAATTCGAATCCAGCCGGCTGTAGACTCCCGTTGTAGTGAATGATGACCGAGACACGTTAAATCTATGGGGTCACGAAGTTCTTCAGTTTCCTATAACAAATTACACCTATGGGGATACTGAATTGGAGATTAATCGTTCTCAGGTTCAGGTCAAAATTACGATCTGTGGATGAATGAATGGATGTATGAACGGGTTGGTGTGTGGGGCTGAAGTCGTATTCTTGGCAATAGTTGGAGACGCTAGAAAACAAGAACAATCGCAACCCTTTCCTTAATGGCCTACGACTACAACCTCTGGGGGTACCCAATTGGAGATTGATCGTTTTCTGTTTCAGATCAAAATTATGATCTGTTGGTGAAAGAAAGAGTGTATGAACGGGTCGGCCTCTTAAAACGGGCTGTGACATGCATGCGTGTGTAACTGAAGTCATATTCTTGTTCATAGATGGCACCATCGCGAAAAACATCTGCCTTACATTCGCTTGGTTCCACAAAGCAGGCTAGCTGGTATTCTCAAATGGCATTAGAAACAACATTCGCTCTAAGAACATCGCTTTTTTTATTTTCATTAAGAGAAAAAAAGTAAACGCTTTCCTAAAAAACCCTGTAGAATAAGCTATCTTCTAAGAAATTGTATAATTTAGACAGATATTTTCTAAATCTGGTTTTCATCAACAACGTGTTATTTTACCACGCCTTTCTATTGTTATTGTGATTTTAGATTTTCAGCTGAAGAAATAGCAAAACGGGATCCCAACGTCTATTTTCCTTTTGGATTAGGACCCAGAAATTGTATCGGTATGACATTTGCCCGACTTACTTCCAAAGTGTGTCTCGTCTATGTTCTTAGCTGCTTCAACATTAAGACATGCTCCCAAACCAAAGTAAGATCAAACCTAATTCTCATATTTTTTTATTTTATTCACAGGTTCGTCCATACGTCCCAACAATTTAATATATACTAGGAGGCTTCGCCCCCTGCTCGCTGGTGCTCGCCAACCCCCGGAACTGCTTTGGCAGTTCATTTCGGATAGCTTCGCAATCCGATGCTCGCTCATTGGATACGTTCTTAACGTCTAGCTTTTGTATACTTTTGTGAACACTGAAGTTCCGAAAACTTTTCACTGTAGAAAATTCTAAATTTGTGCATTTCAATATTAATTTGAAATTGCAAACAGTTCGCATATTTTTCTTAATCACACTTTTCTGAATTTCAGTTGTTGAGAAAAGTAACTGTTGTAAGTTTTGTTTTAAAGTCTTTCCCACCAGAGGGCTAAAACCATGTGTTGTAAAACAATATGTAATAGTACTGAACGCCGGATGTAAAGCATCGGCTTCGATGAAGATAATTTTGTGAGAATTTTTTTGATAATTCGGTGAGAATTCACCCGACTAGACATATGATGCTCACTACGTGCTCTTGCGCGCCGAAGCCTATCAATTAAAACGTATTAGCGTTTTATATAATATAGATTAGCCATATGATGCTCAGTGCGTGCTCTTGCGCGCCGAAGCCTATCAATTAAAAATGAAAACTGTTGCCAAGGCGAGAAAAGAAATATCATCGGTTTTATTGATACATACGTATTGGCGTTTAATATAATATAGATTATTCGTACTAACCAAGGTTCTTAATAATAAACAAGTATGTCTGTTAAATGGAATAATCTATCAGAATTTATCTCATTAACCTTTAAGAAAGGTGATTATGAATTAAGTTTCGTTAATGTAATATTTTCAACTTATTTTGCTAGAGATCTCCAAAACGCGTTCGAAATGGTAATTTTCCGCGCAAATAGCAATATGACGATGTTCGTTTTTTGTTTAATTTGGAAGCAGGAGCCTGCCCAGTTGTTCATTTGTAGTGAAAATACTATGTTCTAAGAGGTTTCATGATTCTTTTTTTTCTATTATTTTCTTTAGGTTTTCGTTTTTTAAGCACTTAATCTTTAAAAAAAACATATCTGCTTTTTGTATTCCGGAAAAATTTATACCGAGCAATGGCACTTAACCTTAAAAATAAAACACAAGAGTAATAAACTGCAATTATCATCAATGGTTACATTTCATACGCTAATTGTTTTTCGTTAGCGTTTCGCAATCATAGCGTTTTCATTAACCTTTCGTAAAATTTATGAACACAATATTTTTAATTAACATACAATGTTCTAAAAATTTTAATTATTTTTTCATAATTTTATTCTCTTTTAAAAATTGTTTTTAATTTTTCCATCTATGTATTATTCTTCGTATTTGAACAATTTAAGATTATTAGAATTTAAGAATTATTAAGAGTGTAGAATTGTTATTAATGTAAGAATTATTAAGTATTAGAATTTAAGATTTATTAAGTTTTATTAACTGCACATAAGCTGCAGGTACATAGAACCCAGTATATACGATAAAAACACAAACAAAACAAGAAAGTAAACAAAAAAGAGAAAGAAAAAAAATTTTGAATATATATAAAAAAAAAAATTTAAGAAATAATAAAAGTTAATAAGGAAAATAATTTTTTTCAAATTTTTAATGTGTTTATGAAAATTTAATTTTAAATACGTGTAACGATTTTATGCATTGTAATTTTGATATTTTATATTTTCAGGTGCCCTTGGAGTTCGACCCTTGGAGTTACTTTACATATCAGGCAAAGGATGTGACTGTTAAATTGGAAATTCGAAATGATTGTCCATTAGTTTATAATTAAATTATGCTATAACTTTATAATTGTTTTTAACAACACATTATTTAACATCAATTTATTTTCATTTCCCTATACTGTACTACTACCCCCTATACTGTACTACTACTGTGAACAATAAATTTTTCCAGTGATTACTTGACCTTTTTTAACCATTATAATCACTATCGCTGACATCAATAAAGTATTATTATTTTGCATAGGTCAGAAAGTATTACTTTAGAATTATTCAAATATTCTGAGTTGGTGATTGGAGAACTGAAGATTGTTGTTGTTAGAAACTTTTTTCATGAGTTGTGATAGTAAATTCTCGTGAAATATTAGTGAATTTTTTTCTCCAAAGAGAATTCCAAATTTTCCTACTTTTCTGATTTTTGGCTCATTACGATAGAAGGTTCTGCAAAAAGTAAGATTTTTAATTAATTCTAACATTATTTTTTTTTCTGTCAGAACAACACAAAATATCTTTTAACAAGAGAACTTTCTGTTTCAAATAATAGATAAAACGTAAGCCAATGCTTTTGAACCAACATGTTTTAATATTGAGAAAACATATAAAGATTAAATAAAAGAAAAAAGGAAAAATTATAAACATAAAATTATTTTTAAAAAAATGTAAAATATTTTCTTACGTATCTTAAAAAAAAGAAGAAAAAAAAATATAACCTCTTCATCAGCTCACACGGTTATATACACAAAAAAAGTGCTTTCTAATATTGTATTAATATAGCCAAAGCAAAATATACTAATACAATAGTGTGAGGAGCACTAAAAAAAATTTATGAAACGAAAATAGAACACATTAATTGAAAACTTTATATGAAATAAAACAAATCAAGAAAAAAAATAGAACATAATAAGTAAAGGAAATATATAACAAAACACGAAAGGAATTTTATAAGGCGTTGAGCGAAATCGAGGCGAGGAGCGAGGAATATTTTTTAAATCGTTTTATTTTTTTAATCTTTCTTCTTCTCTTTTAATTAATCCTTATTATTTTCCATGTTTTCTCAATACTTAAACTTATTTTATGAGTTCTGTATATACTTGTAGCTTATGCGCAGTTAAAAAAACTTATTAATTCTCTTCGTTTTTCTCTCATTTTTAATCGTTTTTGTCTACATTGAGCTATATATATATATATATATATATATATATATGAACT